GTTTATCATATCTGTGATGCCTCATGAAACCAGACTTTCATACTGATTTTTCACATATATACCGGTGATGTCGGCTCGAATGCTATTTTTGGGTGCTTCCCTGCCTGACATGTTTAGTATCATAAATTCATACAAATTATTGACGAATAATTTGTTGCTGAATTCTTTGTTTGATCATTTGGTCTCTAAACATCATATGTTTTAAGTGAACATACAATTTTAGATAAATGTTTTCTCAAGTAAATATGTTATCTTTGTACCATGCTGCATTATATTAAATATTCCCTAATCTTGCAAGGAATCAGCAATATAATTATAATATCTAACAAATCTGAAATTATTATTTAATATTAATTTGTTTTCCTCCTCTTCTGAGGGCGATTGGTAGAGGTGGGGAGGAGTTAGGACTATTGCTTGATTTAGAGAGCAAGGTGGTGCTTTGATTGACAATAGTGTCTGAATATTTTTTTTAATTTAATGAAGATATATAAAATTCATATAGGTGCAGCAGAATATTTCATTGTTTTGGAATTCTTATAATTTAGTGATCATTTGAATATAAACATCATTATAATAAATTAAACATATTTTAGATAAATGTTTCTCTAGTAAATATATTTATCTTTGACAAATATATAAAACATTTATATTCAAAATATTCCTAATCTTACAAGAGTACTGTGTACTTGTACTGTAATGCATCTTTATGGTGGTGTTAGACAATGACACCTCGGACGAAGGATTTTGACAACCTCGGACAACAGGTGTCGGTGTTCATTTTGAAATTCATCGGCCATATCCGTAAAGATACGTTTTTGATTCTGTATACATACTAGTTTTTGGAAGTAATGTATACATAGTACATGAAAGTAAAGTACAGTAGGGATTTTACTTACGGAATGTTGACAATCTGGACACTGCACACCAATTGTTGAATGGAAGTCAGTTTTGCCTAAAATTTAGAAAAGAAATCCTTGTAAAAATATAAATTTGCTATTATATACAACACACAATGTAATTTAACTTAGTTATACAAAAAGCTAAAGACTTTGAAATAAAATAATTTGATATTTGACCTAAGCACAATGGGTGTACTGCAAAACTGTCCTGGGGCCCAAACTCCAGCTTGGGACATACGTGAGAAGGGTGTTGAACGGTGTAAACCTAGCAAATATCACGCCCACACACCCCCTACCTACCTGCCCAAGAGGCTAGTAAATTGACAAGTGGTGGAAGTAATGAATACTAAACAAACTTGGTCACTTGGATAAATTTATAAATACCTCTATATTGGTCTGTACTGTACCAGGTCAAAATTATTCACAAAGTGCAAGACTTCCATTATTAGATCAAACTAAATCAAGGTCTAGAGTAATAAACTAACCTTAAGCGGAGTCCATTATGGGAAATACTTGATAGATTATGTGAAATCGTGAAGACGTCTCCATCACTGAATTTTTCTGCCGAGAAGAAATAATAGTGGTAATGTATTTTTCTCGAGATGTGAGAAAAATGTCATCTAATGTGACGTTCCCAACCATTGCAAGTTTTCTGATTTCCTCCTACACTAATACTAGATAATGAAGGTCTTAATTGAGAAGTACCTGAATGTCTAGTAAACTGCTAAGTCCCGTCTAGGGATTTAGCAGTGGTTATCTATGCTAGGCAAGACCTTAGAGCCAGCCAGGCGAGGGTACAGGGAGAGGATGTTTTTGAAGAGTCCAAGTGGTGTAAAATTAAATTAAAGGGAGGGGACTTACTTATCGTCAGGTGTATCTACAGATCTCCAAACTGTGGCCCACTAAATCAAAGGAACTTAGGAGCCTTAATAGACAACGCGGCGATGCTCAACCCTAGCCACCTCCTTATCATGAGGGACTTTAACTATGGCGACATCGACTGGAGAAACGAGTTCACCCCAAATGACTTGAACAACCCTGCTACTCTTTATGTAGAAGCTCTGAGAGATAATTTTCTGTTCCAACATTTAGAGACCCGACACATTACAGAGGGGAGCAAATACCCAAGCCACTAGACCTCATCATAACAAACGTGGAGGGTATGGTGGCCAAACTGGAACACCTTGCCCCAGTTGGCACCAGTCACCATATAGTGTTGTCATTCAAATTTAACTGTTACCTAGTTCAGGATAAGGCCAGGCCAAGGAGCAAATATTACAAGGGAAATTACAACGGGATGAGGGAAGAGATGAGGGATATCAACTGGCCTGACTCATTAGGGCACAAGAGCGCAGACACTACGCTGAATATCATAACTAGTAAAGTGACCCATTTGATTGATAAATATATACCCAAGACCAAACCCAGTGCCTCTAGGAATACGAGGGGATCCCTACACAATGAACCATACAGCGGTCGACAAAGTTAAGAAGAAAACCCAGAAATTCAAGACGTGGGTTGGGTCAAACGATGAGCAGGACAGGAGGACGTATGCAAGAGCCACAAACCGCGAGTGACGAACCCTTGAGGTGCTTCGATTCCTTAAGTCATTGGTTCGCTTCATTGATTCACATAAAAATCACTTATTACGTATCTGTTTACCGACTGGATGGCAGAAAGAACACCATTCACGATTAACCATCATGTAGTCTCATTCATTTTCTCAAATTACTTTTAGCCATTATAAGCTGAACTAATACTGATATATAATTAATAACGAAAATTAATCATGAGATGTGAAGCTTCGTCAACAACCCCGCTGTTACGACACTAAACTAGGCCACAATTAAATAATCAGTTAGTTTTAACATCTTTTAAGTCCATACATGAAATATTGTTATATACGATTTCTGTATTTTTTACAACATTACAGGTAAAGGGGAAAAATAAACCTGGGGCAGGATACTCAAAAGTATCTACAATATTGTATCTCCCATTTAACTCCGTAAGTCGATCCTCGAGGACTCCCACTACCCCATTCTTGAACGATTTACTCGTACACTGGCTTCCAAGTTCCAATCAAAGCTATAGGATAGAGTTCAAACTCTGTCTAATGAGTTTTAAAACACTAATATTTGGTGAGCCTAAGTATTTGGCCAACCTACTAATTCTGCACTGACTACACATTTTTAAATGATTTTGCGTGGTAGTGATATTAGACACGTCTTAGTGATTCATTGCTTTGTCAAGTACAACATTTCAGAATATTCAATGTATTCATGACATTCTCTGATACTCACAGGTTACATAACTGTACATCAAATACACAACAAAGGCGGGATAATATGTAACGGGCTCGTAACACTTGGGCCTTGTTTCACTGGCTCAGAAATCTGCTAACTTTACACAATGGATAGACAATTAAGGCGTTCAACATAGTCAATATTCTTATCTTAACATTCAATAACGTAAGTCTAACAAACTATGACGTCATCGTTTTCTCTGTTCTGAGTCTTTGAGAACGTGCTTATGGCTGACTCACGAAAACGGTATGTTTTCTACACCTTGGTTTTATGGACGTTGGAGCGTAATATGAAATAAATGTGGGCGTTTACAGAATATAGATATTATTATGACCATGAGTTTATCCTTCGACTTTCTTGGTCCTTAAATACATGTTGAAGTGGGGCAGCTTCTGCGTCACGGACTCAACGGATGCACGATATCCTTCACTGTTAAATGGTGTTGTCATGTCTGGTAGATGACCAAACATGTACCAGACCTCAGACACTATTGTATTATATTCTAGAACTCCGTCGACTGAGTCACAGGTGCTGAGGTCGACGGCATATGAGGGAATCAGAAGACTTGTGCCCGGATCTGGTAGTTCAAACAAATGCTTATTTAACGTCAAATGACCTTCTTGCCCTTTCTGTGTTAAAGAAAAAATAATGGATTTAATTCAGTGAGAACTTCTACCTTGTCTAATTAGATGTCTTACGATGAATCAGAAACACCTGATAACTACTGTATGACGCACATCGTGAGCTTCATTTAGGATATATTGTATTGTCAAATCCTCCCTCCTTCACCTTGATTCACATCTTCAGTTCTGTCACATATTGTCACAGTCGACAACTTTGGTTTATGAAGAGGGTTGCCAGAGTTTATAATGTCGATATTAAGGGATATTTCTAGGCATTAACACTAGCTGTACGAAAAGGAAGCCTTTAAACTGCTTAAATTAACATAGAAGGTAACTGTGGATTACTAAACAGATCCTTTTCTCATTGTGACCATCATGACCACAGAATGACGACAATGTTTAGCAAGAAAAGGGTGTCAGGAAACTGTCACTCTACCAACACTTCTTACCATCACCTTTGTTCTGTTGAAGACGTTGAGACCTTGTTGTTTACTACTTATTATTATAACACAGATATTAGTGACAAACAGACCTATAAGATGGCACTTTTGACGTACTGACACCTGAGGGTTGATGGACACGGGTAAACAATACAATTCAAACTTCTACCCTAGTCACAGAACATCAATGTGAGGCAATAGTAGGTATCCCTTAGATGGTCGAGGGGAGTTAAGTAATTTCTCTACATCTGGGAGTGAGCTCTCCGACTCGTGGCAGCTGAAGAGAACAGAGGTAGCGACCGGAAGGTTTATCAGCAGTTTACGCGTTGTGCTCGTTCCGCTGACACGTTCCCGGAGTCCTTGGGTGTTATATTGCTGTCACTATAAGTACTGGGAACACTCTACCGCTGCAACTGGGTACTGGTGACATAGTATTCTAGGTTAATGATTTATGACAGTAAAAGTGATCGAATACAGTGAAAATGATGTGTGGTAGTGAAGATGAAATGACAGTGAAAATGATGTAGGGTGTGATCTATGGCAGTGAAGATGACATATGCTTATGAAGATGACGCATAACAGTGAAAATGACATATGCTTGTGAAGATGACGCATAACAGTGAAAATGACATATGCTTGTGAAGATGACATATGCTTGTGAAAACGTATGACAGTGAAGATGACGTATGACAGTGAAGATGACGTATGACAGTGAAGATGACGTATGGCAGTGAAGATGACGTATGACAGTGAAGATGACATATGCTTGTGAAAACGTATGGCAGTGAAGGTGACGCATGGCAATGAAGATGACGTATGGCAGTGAAGATTACGTATGACAGTGAAGATGACGCATGACAATGAAGGTGACGCATGGCAATGAAGATGACGTATAACAGTGAAGATGACGTATGACAATGAAGGTGACGCATGGCAATGAAGATGACGTATAACAGTGAAGATGACGCATGGCAATGAAGATGACGTATAACAGTGAAGATGACGTATAACAGTGAAGATGACGTATGCTTGTGAAGATGACGTATGACAATGAAGATGACATGCCAGTGGAAATGAAGTATGGCAGTGATGACATGCCAGTGAAGATGATATGAAAATGAAGACGATATATGGTAGTGACTATAAGCTGTAAAAATAATAATTCATTGTCAACCAATATTAACTAGGACATAAAGGCTGTTCTTATTGGTGACTTGACGCGCTGTGCAAGTACTCAACTGTACTGTTCTTAGCTTATTTTTTTAGAAAAAAAACTTAAGTAAAAGACTCAATTAAGTGTTAATTCTTCCTTTCGATTTAACCTACTTATAACGTACTAAAATGTACTATAGCGGTGTTAATAAGTAAAACGGAAAAAATCTCTTTAATTCGTCTGTACTGTACCAAGTAGCGGAGGAACTACCGTACTATTCTTAATAACTAGTTCAGTTATGGTACCGGGACAACATTTACCTGTGTTTAAGTTTGTCCAATACACACCTATCCTGATATGACTGGTGGATGATTTTTATCGTGTGTGTGAGTGAGGGAAGTAGAGGATGCAAACAAGTGTATTCGATGATCATTTACATTTTACAAGGACGGACGACACACCTAGACAAGGTGACGTAGTGACCTACATCGCTGTTGTCGTGAACATACACACACACACACACCATCCGGCCTCATGTCATTTATTCTTCTTGGTAATTAAGCAACAAAATTTTTCCACAGAAAAAGCGAATAAAAAAAAGTTTTAAGAATCAGCAACGTCGAATTAATCTGAGAAGTTAGAGTTTTTAAAAGAGAAAAGAAAGTTAAAAAAAAAATAAAAAAATAAGAGATGGCATGGAGGATAAACCATCAACTTGGCTGAGGACAGACGATGACTACAAAACAACCTCCAATATTCCATCTACACACAAGTTTACTTGGGAATATAGGATAAGGCGGGAAACCGCTAGCGGGGGTAATAGTGTGACGTTATCTGAGGGGCGACTGATAACAAGGGACTTTGACGCAAATAGAAACTGTATCGTAATGAGTAAGGCTTCCTCTTGTGCTGATGGGTGATACTAGTGATGGGTGATACTAGTGATGGGTGATACTAGTGATGGGTGATACTAGTGATGGGTGATACTAGTGATGGGTGATACTAGTGATGGGTGATACTAGTGATGGGTGATACTAGTGATGGGTGATACTAGTGATGGGTGATACTAGTGATGGGTGATACTAGTGATGGTTGATACTAGTGATGGGTGATACTAGTGATGGGTGATACTAGTGATGGGTGATACTAGTGATGGGTGATACTAGTGATGGGTGATACTAGTGATGGGTGATACTAGTGATGGGTGATACTAGTGATGGGTGATATTAGTGATTGGTGATACTAGTGATGGCTGATACTAGTGATGGGTGACAGTAGTGATGGGTGATACTAGTGATGGGTGATACTAGTGATGGGTGCTTGGTCTTAGTTCCAGCCACCTTGTGCTATAGAGGGAAAAAGGAGGCTGATAAGGTCGAATAATTATCTTTGCTAAAGGCATCAATTTCTCACTAACAGCTCAGAGGCGTTCGCAGATAGGATCAGTCTGATTTAAAAGGCAATTATGACACAGTTAATGCAACAAATGGAATCTATATATATATATATATATATATATATATATATATATATATATATATATATATATATATATATATATATATATATATATATATATATATATATATACATAAATAAATAAATATATATATATATATATATATATATATATATATATATATATATATATATGTAATAAAGTTTGAGCAGTTCTGGCACAGTACAGTATTACCTATCAAACATATCTTTGACGCAGGCGGCATTGGTCAAGAAAGTATTGTATCAAAGGTTATAAAGGTCACTGTTTGGGGGTGGGGGGGTTTCCTCGGAGCGTTGTTACTGGACAACCATTATAACTCACCAGGAGAGTCACCCTGGCATTGTGATTTTATTGTCTTTTATTCCCTTATAATCTTTCTTTCTGTTAATTACAGGCTGGAGTATACTGAGGACGTGTGTAAACTGCTGTGTGAATAAGTGCCAAGTTGACAGTGGTAGTGAAACGTGTATTCTAAGTTAACAACTCACAAAATGTTTACAGATTCCCTTGATGTATGTGTTTACAGAACGTTACACATCCAAAACATAAGGTGTGTACGCCATCATATTCTACACCTTACTGTATTCTTCACATGTCCACTGTGAAGCTTCGAGTTATGTTTAGAAAATGGAGCACAGATTGGTGTTTTGGAGGTGTACAAGTAACTTCCTCAGAGGACTGTAAACACACACATCAAGGGACTTTGTAAACACTTTGGAAGGTGTCATCGTAGAATTCGCATTTGACTGCCACTTATTCTTGCAGTAGTTTACACACGTCCTCAGTACACTCCAGCCTCTTAGTGCTAAAAAGGAAGATATAAAGTTATGTCTCAGTAATATCTAAAGAAGAGGATCGAATCTAAACGTTCTTTGTATAAGAAGAAACACAACTCTGTGAAAGCAGTATAAGTCACATACCTCTGTTTCATGGAATAATCTAGTTAAACTAAACAATAAAATTCGGTGTTTGTTTAGTTCTATCATAAGTAAGATTATATTTTACCTCGACAGGACCACAGCAGAGAAACAGACGTTTTGATAAATTCTAAGTATAGCAACATTTGTTTAATATGATTATTTTACAAAGATTTTGAAAAGAATGTTAGATCTAAAAATTTGAGCTGAGTGTGTTACAGTTACAGGCCATCTGGAGAGAGGAGCAGCAAGTGTGGACTGCGGGAGGTCGTTTGCAGCCCAGCAGTAAGCGAGCCAATCTCTTGATGGCATCATTGACGGAGGAGGGCGTGGACAGGGGTCATCAGGTGGTCTATCGTCAGATCCTGCCCATCGTCATTTGCCTGGGTGTCCTGTCCAATGGCCTTTGTGTCTTTATCTTAAGTAGACCCAGCCTTAGGTCCGCTCGTGTTAACAGGTGAGCAAAGGCAATAACAAATTTTATACTGTGCTTAGGGCAGCCATTTTCCTATCTTCCATTTATATACCTTCTTTGTGTGTGTGTGTGTGTGTGTGTGTAACCTCATCTTCAGGTACACTCAGTACTGTATCTCCCTCCACAGGTACTTCCTCGTTCTGGCGGTATCTGACCTACTAGTGTGTCTCTTCTACATCCCCGTCAGCACCACCATCACTGGCTGTACCTTCTCCAGCTATGCCGAAGCTTTCTACTTCTCCCATTTTGGGTGGACACTTGTGGGCATCGCTCAAGCCATCGGCACCTACACCATCCTATGGCTCTCCCTTGACCGCTTCATCGCTGTGTGGTGGTACAGCCTCTACCCAAGTATCCAAAAGAAGCCGAATGTCTTACGGAACAGAATGGTTGTCACAGTTTTCCTCTGCATCATCACCCATCTGGCCTACATGTTTACCTCCACTGTCTACTACTGCTCCAATGCAGACGAGACGGATGACCTGTGCACAGAAGGGACTTTGATTGTTAAGACCGGGTATCAGAACCACTTCGACGAAACTTGGCACAAAATTTACCGGAGTTTGTTTGGTCTGTTCATCAGGTGGGTGCCATGTTGTCTCCTACTGTTGTTCAACGTGGGGCTGGTGATTGGGGTGATGCGAGGCCGTGTCAATTTTCCTGCCACAGGTCATGGAACTGGGAGGAGCGGGGAGAGGACCCTTGTCATCACCATGATCGCCATAACCGCCTCCTACATCTTGCTCACCCTCCCCATCACCGTCTACATTATGGCTTACGCCACATACGTCGTCAACCGTTGTTCTGAGGAATATCCCAAGGAGGTCCTCCGTGCTGTGGGTAATTGTCTTCAGTTGTTCGAGCATGTGATACACATAGTGTTCCTGGTGGGTCTAAACAATGGCTTCAGGAAGGAGCTCAAGATTTTGCTGCATTTGGAGGAGAGGAAAAAGCAAATGGATCCTGGCGGAGTTGAACTTGGTGTTAGTCACTCACAGTTTGGTGGACTCGAGGTGTCGTGTCACAAGAACCAACAGAATAGTGTCTCTCTCACACCAGCCTTATCTAACAGCAACAGACACACCATGGCAGAGGATTTATAACATTCTTTATGGTGTCTGTTACAGTGAATTACGGTGTCTCTTACAGTGTCTCATACAATGTTCATTACAGTTTTGTTTAGTGAAAACCACCAGGTGTAAAGAATTAGTTTAGTCCTGGGTGATGACATGACACACTCAAAGAGGTTGCAACGAACCTTAATATGATCACTGAATATTGTGATCATGACTAATAATCAATAACATGTGAACTTGAATAATTCCCTGTGTGGGTGTTGATGGTGCCTCTCATGTCCTCCACTAAACACTGTATTAGAACCAAAATTGAATATTTTTCTCTCCTCTCCAACAATATAATTATCAACAACTATCAAAGTCCATTCTAGGATACACACACACGAGACTGTTCACAAAGGTTCCTAGATTATGGTTCTTAAATTGCCTTTGTAACCGGGTCAAACCATCTATGATACACAGACATCACTTGGCTGATGTCAACATGAAACTCCAGTTATTTTTATATAATGTAGTTGTCTGTGCACCAAAAGTGTACTACACACTGTTCTCTATTTAGAAAATCATTAGATACTCACAAAAAATAATTAAGTGTCCTCACATTGAAATTACTGTTATCTGATAGGAGTTATCAGTTATTAACAAATTTGGGTGTTGATAGGATTCTGATCTACCGACAAACCATTCATTTATATTACATAAATTAAATCATGTATAGTAATCACAATTTGTACAGGTTTAAATTATTGAGTGTTAAGAGATCATGTGTATAATGACTTCTGTAACAAAATGTCATTATATCTTAATTATAATTTCACCACTTACTAGCCATTCTGGGGGCAGTTGGTCAATCCACTGTAAGTACAGGAGGAAACCTGTGATACTTGGTAGTGTCTGGGCCAATCAGGACTCACACCATTGACATATTAGTAAGAGATACAAGCATTACTACAATACCGCCAACATTATAACTATAATTAATAAACTTTAATATATTGTCTTAAAACTTTGCATTATTATCCCATTATAATTTGAGCTTTATTGAAAATACATGTAAGGTTATTATTAAGTTGTTAGCAATATGACAGTACTGTACTCTATAATATGTGTGTATGTGGGGGGGGGGAGGTATAATGGTCATGTGTGTGTGTGTGTGTCGGACGGGGGCGGGGGGTTGGGGTTATGGCAGTTTTGTATGTGGGTTGGTGATGTCACTATACTATTGTGTGTGTGAGGGGGGGGGAGGTAATTCAGTATTGTGCGCGCATCATCGCTAAATTAGTGTAGCCTAATGGTTAGCATGCTAGCCACACAGCCTTGTAGACCTGGGTACCATTCTACACAGGATAATACAGTTGGTTTAAATGAGGGTGTGGCTGGTGTGTTGGCAACAGCTTCTACACCTTAAACAAATTCACGTCTAGGTGGCCCTAGGGTCGGCAGTCTTCAAACACTATGCATAACCACTATTATCATATACTGTAGTGCATGTGTGTGGCAGTACAGTGTGTGTGGTAGAATAGTGTGTGTGGTAGAATAGTGTGTGTGTGTGTGTGTGTGTGTGTGTGTGTGTGTGTGTTGTAGTACGTATAACGTGTACGATAGTATAGTGTGTGTGGTTGTAGTGTGTGTGTCGCACACGGTGGTGAAATGCGTCTAGTGTGGCAGCACTATGTTAGTGTTAAGGTACAAGCACTGCTTGCTCCCTCTCGCTTTCAGCTGCCGCCGCTGGCTAGCCCTCGTGGCGAACAAGGAAATAACTTTCATAAGTCTTCCCCTGCCAGTACACAGCCTCTTCACCATCAAGACTCCATCTGTGCCTCCTAGTGGCAACACACAGTAACTGGGTGCCTCCTGGGCCCACGCTAGATCAGCAGGGGATCTCGGAGTAGCAGTGGGCCCCATAGGGACGGCACATAGGCCCACTGGCATGTGTACACGTTCTGGCGCCTACCAGCCATTGCCCCGCTGCCTTGTGAATTAACTTTGGTAGGTATAAGGCTACGGGAGTAAACCCAGAATGAAAAATTTGCTGTGGAGCCCCGCATCAGGCAGACATGCTTACAGAGCTTCAACAAGACCCCAACGGCGATATAGGCGGAAGAGATGACCACCGTGGAAACCCAACGACTACACCGGCGGACGAAGGTAATGCCTGATGGACAGGCCACTAAGGCGAAACCCAACAAACTGGGCTATTGGCAGTCCATTGCAACTCTCCCAAGTCTTTGCACCACTTGCACCACTGATCAGCAAAAGGGAGAGCCAAGATGTGTGGTTGTAGCCTGCGCTCCTTCCTCACCACATAAGTCAACTCGCACGCAGCTATCATCCAGCTCATCATAGCTTTCATCATCACCAAAATCCCCTATACCCCCAAAAGTCCTATGGCGATGGGGACAGCCACAGATGATTGCCTGGAGTCTCTAGTCACAACTTTGTACATGGGCATCACAGATAAGATAGTCGTTTATGCACTGGAATCTAGGCAGCAGTGCAATCCGGTCCTGTCTGTGCAACTGAGCAGGCCTTACGAGGAGCCACTCTGCTCACCCCACATGGGGAGGGTGGCTAGAAAAGGTGCCCTAAACATAGCCTGCCTAAAAATCCAACCTGACTGGGCAACCGCAGTCGAAAACACAGTCAAAATCAGATCCAAACAAAAATAAACCATACAACCTCTTATGGTCGCTGCATGGAATGTCAAGACCATTCTGGATACTGGCACAAATGAGCGTCCTGAAAGAAGAACTGCCCTTGTGGCAAAAGAGTTGGCTAGATATAACATCAACATAGCAGCCATCAGTGAGTCCCTGTTCCCAGATGAGGGGGGGCAAGCTCACAGAATGGGGGTCTGGCTATACCTTCTTCTGGAAGGGTAAGCCTGTTGTAGAGAGAAACTGCATTTATGGAGTTGGCTTTGCCATCTGCCAATGCATCCTACACAGGCTAACTGAAATGCCTATTGGGATCAACGAGCGCCTCATGACGCTTCGAGCCCCACTGAATCACTCTCGTCATGCCTTTTTCATCAGTGCATACACCCCAACGCTGGATGCAGAGGATGACATCAAGGAGGCATTTTACGCCGACCTTGACAGTGCTAACCTCTATCCTCAGAGAAGACAAGGTTGTGCTCCTTGGCGACTTCAATGCCAGAGTTGGCAGAGATGTTAGCATTTGGCAGGGAACCATAGAGAGAAATGGACTAGGCAAGTGTAATGCCAATAGCCTACTCCTCCTCAGCAAGTGTGCTGCACACAGCCCCACTATCACCAATACCTTGTTTAGGCAGGCCGACAAGTTCAAGGGTTCGTGGCAACACCCACGATCCAAAAACTGGTATCTCATTGACTACATCATTGTCAGAGAAAGAGATCGCCGAGATGTCCTCATCACCCGTGCCATGCATGGCTCAGATCACTGTGACACTGATCATCAACTTGTCAGAGCTAAGCTCTCATTTCACTTCGCCCCAAAACGGCAAAGGCAGCAAGCCTCCAGAAGAAGTTTAATACTAAGTGTCTGGAGGACCCAGCAGTAGCACATACTTTCAAAGAGCAGCTCGAACATGCTTATGTGATGATACACGTACTGAAGAACAGATCTGATACAGAAGAAAGCAGCAGCCCAACTGGAACTTCGCATTCTAAAGAATGACTGGCTTAAAAATAAAGCATGTGAAATACAAAAAGATGCAGAACAGCACAAGATAAGCAAATTTTTTAATTCCTATGACAAGAGTTTCCCCTCGGCGATAGTGAAGCGTTACCTGGTACTCGTGAAAACCTACACTTGAAGGAAGATCGTCTCGAAAACTGAGAGGAAAACAATGCAAATGGCTGCCGTGACCTTAAGACTTCTACCCTATTTACCTCGATAATATCCTCCCCTCTGTGTTTTGTAGCTAATAGTCTCCCTTTCTTCTTCTCTCCGTCGTCCTCTACCTCCTTTTATTCACAGCCTGTAATTCTCGCAAACAAAACCCTGTAGCTGCCCAACTTTACGTTTAATAAATCATCCGGCCATCACTTCACCTGCCTTTACTAATGAATATCTTACCGTATTCTCCGCTTAATGTGTTGCGCCGTCCGAGTGCTGCTTCACTCCAGCTAGGGTTCGTCTTGACGTATACACGCACAATTTACACAAATAATAAGTCTTACGAGGTAGGGTTGAGGCGAGAGTGAAGAGCACCGAGTCCGTCACCTGTACACTGCACTGCTGGAAACAATTGAGCAAGTTGTCTTAATCAAAGTTAATAACGCTGAAAGTCGATCCAGACCGATACAATTTCGAACCAATCGAATCACAAAGTTTGAACCAACGAACCAAGGGAGGAGGGATGGAGACGTCATGGAGGATGCCAAGCTCTTGTTGACACAAATATTTTATTTTAATAAGTTGGCTTACTATTATGTATTAAATTATTACCTGTGGGGATGTGTCATGCATCGTAGAGGTTAGCAACATTTGCTAGAACTAGGCAATTAGCCATTTTATTATATATAAGCAAAAACATGTATTCAAAAGTTCTTCTGTGTTAATATTTACCGTAAAGTCAGTGGTTATATTTATTATGGCGCCCATTAGCATGAAAACAAATAATTTACGTTAAACGGAAAAGTTATGTATAAGTTTTCAAACAAAACAATTAAGATATCTGGACGTCTCCGAAATGCTGAAAAGTATGATTAAAATCCTTGAGCTATACACAAATTATGTTGTGAAATTAACATTGGTATGATGTATAATGTGATACACGAGTACCAACCTACAATGTTTAAGACTCAAGATAATATAATATCGCAACCTTTTATGATACATGAGGAGAAGAATACGGCGTCACGAAGCCACATTGACGCTTCCGAACTCAGCATGTCAACACAGTGCATCACGCTGGTGGCGACATCTTCCAGAAGAAAAAGTTACTAATTAGGTTTCACTACGAATAAGGTAACTTATTAAACTAAGAACTATAACAGTCCTTGGTCTACCGGAACGGCTTAAAGGTGGACGGTAATTACCTTGTTAACGTCTTGACTCTCACTGTTGATATCTAAGATAAGACACCACAATGAATGTGACTAAAAAGAAAGAAAGAAAGTAAATACCCCGCCATTCCTGTTTCCTAACCCCACAAAGTTATTTTGTCTTCCCTATCCCACCAAGCCATCGTATTTCCCAACTCCATAGTTGTCCTGTCCCTCACAAAGTAGTTTCAATCATGATTTACTCTCACAGAAAACGGATACATTTGTAAATCAAAGAAAACCTAAGCATTTCACTCTTAAAGGGATAATTCGTGAAAATTCTCTTCCATAGGGTCGCTACTGAAAGCTCGCGTGTATTACAGTCTAATAAAGCTAAAATTAAAGAGGTTAAACAGAGGTACATATGCAGAAGCTTTATGTACATATCAAAGTAAATATGAATAAAAACTGAGATAGAGATGAAATGTCAAATAACTCCCTTTAAAATATATAGAAAATGACCCCAAAATAAAGAAGTAAATGGAATGATATATTACTTTAAGAGATAGACTTATATACTGAATGAGCATTAAATGTTAGAGTATGTATCTTGACAGGTTAAGCTCGTGGTAGATCAACAGTTAGAAGTATTTCATGACCTAACCTGACCACCAAACATCATTAACTAACGTCACATGTAAAAAGGATTTAACTCTGTATAATGACAACAAACTAAAACATTATAAGACCATTGTCAGAATAAAGTAACGTCGCTCTTCAAATTTAATGGAAAACCTTGAGTTGGGTGAAAAGAAAGGTTCAAAGGTTTATTCAGGTATGGCAGTGGATTCGTAGATAAGGGAGGAAGGTCTGTCTGTCTGTCTGTCTGTCTGTTGTCTCTTTACTGCTCTTGTCTCTTCTCTAACTGTCTTATTCACCCCTTGTTTAACGTTTCTATCCCATCCCTTCTCTCTGTGTCCACAACAACAAACACAAAACACAGCCATTTACAGGTAATCAGGGTTTCGAACCCAGGACAATATGACTACATCTCCGACCTGGTGATCTCTAAAGTTATAATATAGATTCCCGTCTTTCGTAAATCCAGGTCAAGTTTGATGTTAAAAAAAAAAAATTTATTGTGATGATCGTTAGCTGTGAGGGAGGCGAGCAACTATAGGTGGTTGTCATCTTGCCACCCTCACCGCCCATCCTCGGCGCCCATCCTCATCGCCCACCCTCGCCGCCCACCCTCGTCCCCCACCCTCGCCACCCACCCACGCCGCCCACCCTTGCCATCACTCCCGTTGACATTCGGTGAGATGGGAACTTTCAGAAAAAACAGATACTGTTACAGTATATAATTTACCACAAATAAAAAAACCCTAACCTAACCTAACCTAACCTAACCTATCATTAATCACATAATAATGTTTAGGTGAAGCTCAGGTTAAGGTAGATTATGTTAGGTTAGGTAGACTTAAGACTTTAGAAACTGACAAAATTTGTAAACTGACTAATCTCTTCGGCTTAACTACGATTTTTTTTAGGAAATGAGTAGTGGCGGTATGTATGTATGTATGTATGTATGTATGTATGTATGTATGTATGTATAAAACAAACACACACACGATAACAATTAATGAGCCAAAAAATAAAGCGAGACAGAGATAAGCTTGAGAGATAGAATCACCAACACGAATTTCCTGTCACTCACACTGCCAAGGGAGGCCGCCGTCTTGACAACGCCACCAGAGACTCAAAAGGAGATAAATTTTAGACCATGGAGCTGTTTTTGACCCTGTGCTCTCCCCCTCCTCTCGCTGGCAGACAAACAGTTACCAAACAGGACATATATTAGTTATTATGATCCCTAGTTTATTCTACCTGACGATTAATTACCCAAACGATACCCGGGGGTAGGCTGCATTAGATTAGGTTACTATTAGTGTGATTAATCTTCAGGTGATGCGTCTTGACAGCTCAAAGATCAGATGGAGTTTATTCAGTCGTCTTGGACCAGTGTTTTAACCCAGCCCTACTTGTGCCACAGTCCTGCGGTGCTGTCATACGTGAAGCACCCCACCATCACGGGTTCTGCTGCTGTGATACGTGAAGCACCCACCATCACGGGTTCCTGCAGCTTGGGGTCCTGGTGCTGATACGTGAAGCACCCCTCACCATCACGGGTTCCTGCAGCTTGGGGGTCCTGGTGCTGTGATACGTGAAGCACCCCACCATCACGGGTTCTGCTGCCGGTCCTGGTGCTGTGATACGTGAAGCACCCCACCATCACGGGTTCCGGCAGCTGGGGGTCTGGTGTCAGATACGTGAAGCACCCCACCATCACGGGTTCCTGCCGCTTGGGGTCCTACGTGGCACCCCACCATCACGGGTTCCTGCTGCTTGGGGTCTGGTGCTGTGATACGTGGCTACCCCACCATCACGGATTCCTGCAGCTTGGGGGTCCTGGTGTTGTGATACGTGAAGCACCCCACCATCACGGGTTCCTGCAGCTTGGGGTCCTGGTGCTGTGATGCGTGAAGCACCCCACCATCACGGGTTCCTGCAGCTTGGGGGTCCTGGTGCTGTGATACGTGAAGCACCCCACCATCACGGGTTCCTGCCGCTTGGGGTCCTGGTGCTGTGATACGTGAAGCACCCCACCATCACGGGTTCCTGCCGCTTGGGGTCCTGGTGCTGTGATACGTGAAGCACCCCACCATCACGGATTCCTGCAGCTTGGGGTCCTGGTGCTGTGATACGTGAAGCACCCCACCATCACGGATTCCTGCAGCTTGGGGGCCTCTCATCGTGTAAACAGACACCCACATCCGCCTTAGATAACCGTTTCCGTTAGCTTTTTCTTAATATTTTTTCTCTTCGTCCAGGAGAGGAATTTCCAAAAATGGTCTTTGTATTGTAGCTTTTAACTGGGAGTTTAATTCTCAACAAAAACTGCTCCCTCCTGCGTTAAGCCGTACTTAAGAGAAAAACAATTCTATCACGTACGATAAACTCCTATCAGTCAGGTCAAGAGAAAAGAGATTTAAGTAGACAACACACCATCAAAATGTCAGATAAAACTACTGGATGCCTTGTTGGAGAATTTATCAGTAGCTGAATAAAAGGGGAATGAGACTCAACACAACTTTATTTCACTCAGAGATTATTCTAACCTAACCTAACCAGGAAAATCCGTTTTATATTTAAATTATCAAGTTGGGAGAACAAACACAAAATGCGAACGTGTGAGTTAACCAGTTCTACAAACGCTCGTATGATAAAACTTAAAAAAAAAAAAAAAATTACGGAAAACTAAAAGACAAATGAAAAAAAAATACGGATTAGGGAAATTTCATTAATTTAGATTACTCTGTATTAGGTAGTAGGCAGCTACCAAACAGGGAGGTACTACCGCCTGGGAAGATATTGGAAGCATAATGTGTTGTCTAATGGTAGACTGCTGCCATATGGTATCATGAAAATTTTTACCAAGTCCCAGGTTGCTAATCTGACTTTCTGCCTCATTTACACACACTTGCAGGGTCTCAATTGTTTCTCTCACTATTGACAACACAACATACATATATTGCTTCTCACTCTTGATCTTTATTTCATTTTTGTATTTATTTATGGTTCTTTATATTATTATTATTATTATTATTATTATTATTATTATTATTATTATTATTATTATTATTATTATCATTATTATTATTATTATTATTATTATTATTATTATTATTATTACATTTTCGCCCCCCAGGCCCCGATGTGGATCAGTGACCTGTGCCCGGGTGGGCTGGTCCCCGTAAAAAAGCAACCTATGTTAAGGTGAATTATCTTAATGTAGAGTAAACCTGACTTAAACTAACCTAATCTAAGGTCAATTAACTTACTTTAACTTCATCAAATAGAGTTGGTTTATTAATCCTTATCCTAGAGAGAGAGAGAATGGTTTTATCTTCAGATATTTCATAATTAAAAACATCTGACAGGAAATGCGTTTTTGGGAATAAGGGTTTAGCCTGAGAGAGAGAAAGAGAGAGATAGTCTACTATCGTACTCGGTTTCACATGGAATAATAATAATAATAATAATAATAATAATAATAATAATAATAATAATATCTAACTTGTGTATGACGGGTTAATTATAATTAGTTAGACATATTCTAAATCAAATTACGGTAATTAACGCCGATAACGACGTCACAACCTCCACCACACACAGCCACCTACCTCCCTCCACTCATACTTCGGAACACAAGGGCAGGTGGACCTCCTCTGAAGAGTTCACACCCCAAAACGTATGACATTTGATCTTCTGCAGTTGACACATCTTACTTTTCACTGTTTTCTTCTTCAGGCGGGGGCGTGTTGTGGGAGGAAATCAAAGCTGTATATCTTTTCACTCTGACTAAATTACTGTTTTTAATGTATGACATGTATTGATAAAAGAAGGAAATAAATTAAAAGAAGAGTGAATGTAAAGCTGTATATCGTTGTCTGTTAACTAGTTTACTTTCGACACAGACGGTCAGACCTTTATGATTCCCGCCAGTGACGCGAAGTATCCGGTGGAGGAAGGAGCGCTCTACTCGCACTGTCGCACACGAGTCCGTAGTTCTCCTGCTACACACGTCATGTGTACCAGAGTATTCAACCAGTTCTCCTACCCTTTTATACCACGTCCATAAACAGCCACCATCATTGTAATTGGATTTTGAACAGTGAAAAGACGTACCATTATAATGAGTTGATGAAGAAGTCGTGTACGTCGCCGGTATAAGTGTTGTGCGTCTTTATAATCTTGTGGGGGTTTCGATGCACGTGATAGTTTACCAAGCTAGTAAAGTGTCCCTTGTGATCTGGCCATAAGCTCCCTCTATCAAAGACTTCCTCGCTTTGGCACAACGAAAATATAAACAATGCTAACACAACTATCAATTAGAAGAATCAACAACATGATTTAGATGGTGATTCTCAGTCTGTGTCGAAATAAAAGTTGATCTCTGACAGTGTACACAGCGTCCCCGTGGCATGACTGTGGTTCTCTTCGGATCGTCAGGACCTCTGCGGGGTGACAAGAAAATGCTGCGACACCTTAACTCTCTTGGTGTGTGTGCTGGTGGATACACTTCGACCAACGAGGCTGTTGAGACGGCCTCCTTCACCACCACCACCAGAAGCCGAGGATTGAGTGTGTCATGGGTGTTGCTGTTGTTGGTGGGCGTATGGACTGGGTTCACAGAGGCCACTCCTCCTACATTATGGGAGCACTTCTTCTTAGACGGTGAGTGTCTAGGGTCTGTGGATCACCTGCAGCATATTTCACCTGATGATTAAACATCCTAACGTTACCTAACCTGACCTGACCTAACATGACCTAACCTAATCTAAGGTAAGCTGAGCGATCCTAACCTAAACTATTCTAAAATAAACCTAACCTAACCCATACTAACCTAAACTAACCTTCCCCCAGGTAGCATTAAATAAAGTTCAATTTCTGGTGAACTATAATTTCTGTCTCCGCCGGACGCCGCTCCATTGGGAAAGCGGAAAGTCATCTTTTCCGTCCGTCTCTCTGTTCAAGGGAGTAGTCAACACCATAACTCAACACCTACAAGAGGACAGTAATAGACTGTGGTTTTAGATCTATTGTAACAAGGTCTCTGACGAGTTCGATAATCAGCATATCCTGTCATCGTTGGCAAAGGTTATTACTATTTTTACATTAGTTGTGGTGCGGGGCGGGTCAGGGAGGGGTAGGGCGGGGCGGAGTGAGGCGGAGCTTGGGGAGAACGTGTATACAGGTATGTGTGTGGTGGGGAGGGGGTGTACGTATATGGGTTTGTGTGTGGGGGTGTATGTATGTGTGTGGGGCTGTATGTACGTGTGTGGGGGTGTATGTATGTGTGTGTGGGGTGTATGTATGTGTGTGGGGGTGTGATGTGTGTGTGGGGTGTATGTGTGTGTGGGGGGTGTATGTATGTGTGTGGGGTGTATGTATGTGTGTGTGGGGGGTGTATGTATGTGTGTGTGTGGGGTGTTATGTATGTGTGTGTGTGTGGGGTGGATGTATGTGTGTGGGGGTGTATGTATGTGTGGGGTGTATGTGTGGTGTATGTATGTGTGTGTGGGGGTGTATGTATGTGTGTGGGGGTGTATGTATGTGTGTGGGGGTGTATGTGTGTGTGTGAGGTGTATGTGTGTGTGTGGGGTGTATGTATGTGTGTGGGGGGTGTGTATGTAAGTGTGTGTGTATGTATGTGTGTGGGGGTATGTGTATGTGTGTGGGGTGTATGTATGTGTGTGGGGGTGTATGTATGTGTGTGTGTATGTATGTGTGTGTGGGGTGTATGTATGTGTGTGAGGGTGTGTGTATGTGTGTGGGGGTGTATATGTGTATTGTATGTATGTGTGTGGGGTGTATGTATGTGTGTGTGGGGGTGTGGTATGTGTGTGTGGGGTGTATGTATGTGTGTGTGGGGTGTATGTATGTGTGTGAGGGTGTCTGTATGTGTGTGGGGGTGTATGTATGTATGTGGGGGTGTGTTTGTATACTGTATGTGTGGCTTTCCCATGCTTACCGTCAAATACGTGTTGTTGTAAACAGGATATCAAGAACGAACGTAAACAACTAAATAAGAAACAACATAAACTGAGTTAACTTGATGACAAATTGAAGAAAAAACATAAGATCTAAAGGTGTTGCGTATTAGAATACAGAACTCTTTGGTGAACAGTGTCAAGTGTAATGAGTGGTCGAGCTGAACCTAACCTTACCTTACCTTACCTAACCTAACCTAACCTTACCTTACCTAACCTAACCTTACCTAACCTTACCTTACCTTACCTAACCTAACCTTACCTTACCTAACCTAACCTAATCTAACCTAACCTCAAAAACTGACAGAATTTATTCGATTATAAATCTCCCTTTACTTACTGTCACCTAAACCCCTTCCAAAATGTGTCTCGGGTATAAGAAGTGTGTTATTGTGCTTCATGATTTGTTTTGCCGTTAAAACACTTTATCAGAATTTCAGGATAGAAACCGCACGACGAAACCTAGATAAAACGTTTGCCCACACGACTTTTTCCTAAGATTACGACATAAACAAGACAAAGATGGCGCCACTTCTGCTCTGTGACTTCACTTTGGAAAAAAAAAATCCCACGAATACTTGAAAATCCGGGTAAAAAATTGTTTAAAAAAAGGAATGATCTTCTTGCCGACCAAACTTCTACAGAAATCCGGTGTTAGACATTTCCGTAAGTAAACAAAGAGTTATCTAGTGGTGAGTAATATCATGTCATCTCTTTAACAACTATTACATCATAATATCTTTGACGTCATAAACACAATATCCCCCCCCAAAAAAATAAAAATAAAATAAAAGAAAAGATATCTATATAACAATGATTTATTTTGTCATGTTTTAGTACAGTTTATAATTGTCTTTGTACTTAATAACCGGAGTCGCAAAGTGGTTAATTATTCACGCTAAGAAGACCAGAAGGAGGGGGTGACTCGTACATTATCCGGTGTATGTGTATGTGTGTGTGTGTGTGTGTGTGTGTGTGGGCTTCCCTCCACTTAGCTTTTGTAACATCCTCCATCCTGTGTGGTGTTGTCTGGTGTGGTGTGGTGTGGTGTTGCGTGGTGTGGTGTGGTGTGGTGTGGTGTGGTGTAGTGTGGTACTGTGTCATGTGTGGTGTTGGATGGTGCTGTGTTTGTGCGGTCTTAACGGTCTCATCCTGTCTTCTTATAGTTATCTCACTATTTCTCTGTTTTTTGTTCTCTTTATCTGTGTTATTCACTTCGCGCACAAACACTCACACACCAATAACACCAAAACACACACACACACACACACACACACACTCACTCACTCACTTTGCTGTCACTCGGAATCGAGTATGACGATCATCCAGCTATGATACAGTGATATGAGGTATTAGGGATGTCACCTAGGTTAGTGATTTTGAGGTGACTAAAGAGATCGATACGGGACCCGCAGCATCGTTCACATTCGTTGCACATGTGGAGGGCTCCATCTACTGGGGGAGGGGCGGTGACAGCGTCTTTTCGGCGTTGGCGCTTGTCTGCCTCGGTTTGCAGTCGGGCTAACTCGAAAGTATTGACACCTTCTTGTGTGGTGCTCCTCCAAGCGTTACGATGTGGAGTAATCGACTCCCAGGTGATGGGGTCGATTTGGCACTTTTTCAGGTTTGTCTTAAGACTATCCTTATACCTTTTCAATTGCCCGCCGGCGTTACGTTTACTATTCGTTAGGTTACTGCAAAGTAGCTACTTTGGCAGTCTACTGTTGTCCATGCGTGTAACATGGTCAGTCCAACGTAGTTGTTCATGGATAACGGTAGCCTCGATGCTCCTACACTTGGTGTCAGCAAGAATACTGGTATTTGTTCTCTTGTCTTCCCAGCGAACTCGGGGGATGGAACTTAGACTACGTTGGTAAAAGTTTTCAAGTGCCTTGAGGTGCCTCCTGTATGTGACCCATGTCTCACTGCCATATAACAGGGTGGGGAGGACCACTGCTCGATATACGTGCAGCTTTGTAGATAATTTCAGCGCCCTACAGCTGAAGACACGATTTTGGAGTCTGCCAAAGGCTTGAGATGCACATCTGATCCGATGCTGAATCTCTTCATCGATGCCTGCGGTAGTGAACAGGTGGGAGACGAGATACCGAAAGTAAGCAACATTAGAGAGGGTAGTACCGTTAAGCTGGTTGGATGGTGGAGGTGTATCTGAACCAGGTGCTGGTTGAAAGAGAATCTGAGTCTTACGTACATTCACTTCAAGGTGGTGCAAGTGTTGCAACGACTGGGGAGAAGGAGAGTTGCAATGGACTGCCGATAGCCCAGTTTGTTGGGTTTCGCCTTAGTGGCCTGTCCATCAGCATTGACTTCGTCCGCCGGTGTAGTCGTTGGGTTTCCACGGTGGTCACCTCTTCCGCCTATATCGCCGTTGGGGTCTTGTTGGAACTCTGTAAGCATGTCTGCCTGATGCGGGGCTCCACCGCAGATTTTTCGTTCGGGGTTTACTCCCGTAACCTTATACCTACCAAGGTTAGTCCGCAAGGCAACGGGCCGGTGTTTGGTAGGCGTCAGGAACGTGTCCACATGCCAGTGAGCCTATGCGCCGTCCCTCTGGGGCCCACTGCTACTCCGAGATCCCCTGCTGATCTAGCGTGGGCCCACGAGGCACCCAGTTACCATGTGTTGCCACAAGGAGGCATAGTTGGAGTCTTGATGGTGAGGAGGCTGTATACTGGCAGGGGAAGACTTATGCAAGTTGCTTCTCTGTTCGCCACGAGGGCTAGCCAGCGGCGGCAGCTGAAAACGAGAGGGAGCAAGCAGTGCTTGCACCTTAACACTAACATAATGTTGCCACTGTAGACGCATTTCACCACCCTGTGTGTGGCTGCACACACACGCACATACACACACATACACACATAAACACATAAACACATACACACACACACACATACACACACTTATACAATATTCTCCAATACTATAACTTAGGCTCGATCCCCACTTAGGTCTAAAGTGAGAATATATCAGCTTTTTCCAGAGTCTCCATTTTACGATTAACAGACAGACACACACAGACCAAAACAAAAACACATATATAAGCATACACGCACACACACACACACACTACTAAAACACAAATCCCATCAAATTACACACACACACACACACACACATCACTCTTTCATACTACCTCTCTGAAAAAAAACTTCCTTCTCTCATCCTTCCAAAGACTCCCTCAGTTCCCCTTTTACGTCCTGTTCTTTATCCTTGTGTGTGTGTGTGTGTGTGTGTGTGTGTGTGTGTGTGTACAGTAGCTCTAATGAAAAAAAAATGGTGAAACTTGGCAGACGAGTTGATGATGATGAAATATGAATTTTAATTTTTATTTAAACCTTGATCAAGATACTTCAACGTCAGATGGTCATAAGGTCAAACCTTCCTCAAAATGATAAAATTAATTTACCTGGATACTAATTTATATTTTTCCTCTTGTTTTCTCTACGTAGGATGCAAGATTCCTTCAGTTGGCAACATGACTCGCAATCTGCACCTCAAGAACCTGACAAGTGGCTTCTTCCTAGAGTTGGACATATATGGGTTTAACGCTCCCAGGTTGATGAGTAGTCGTGAGGAATCTTGTGAGTTACTGGCCGGAGCTCTGTACTGGGTCACTACCATGAGCGATGAGCAAGACAAGATGCGCCTTACTTTTAAGAAGATTATGGACGATGGAAGACCCAAAGGAGGAAAAGAAGAAGAGGTAAAGAAAGTTGGAAGTGAGGAAAAAGAAGGGGAGGGAAAGAATGAGAGCAGTGGGATGAGACAGGACATGGAGGAGAAAGGGATGGAGGAGAAGCAAGACACAGGAGAAGCAGAGGAGAGCAAGGAAGAGGAAAAGGAGGAGAAGATTATGGAGTGTGTACTGCCGCTGGTCGTGGCTCTAAATAACGGCTATGGCTTCCTCTCCTGCCGAGGTAAGAGAGAGAGAGAGATTGGTAAATTATTTCCTAGTTTTATCAAATGCAAAGTCTTGTTTAACCTCGGTTCTATTGGGTTGTAATAAGGATCATCATTATCATCATAGTTGTTGAGGGATTCGATCGTACGTTAAGGGACTCTATCGTACATTTATTGTAGTTATGGTAATCACTACTTATGCCAGATCATTTGTTTAGCCTTAACAGTTAACCTTAACCGGACAAAAGTAAAGAGTTCTGCGTTATTTGTAGTGTGTTTCCTCAAAGGGCGACTGACTCTGTCTCTCTTTTCCTGAATCTGTTTGTATCTCGTTTTGTCTAACCCCATTCCCCCGCCTGTAACTCCCCTTCCCCAGCCTGTAACTCCCTTTCCCCCGCCTGTAACTCCCCTTCCTCCGTCTTTAACTCCACTTCCCCCGCCTGTAACTCCCCTTCCCCATCCTTTAACTCCACATCCCCGACTTTAACTCCACTTCCCCTGCCTTTAACTCCACTTCCCTGCCTTTTAACTCCCTTCCTCCGCCTATAACTCCACTTCCCGCCTTTAACTCCACATCCCCTGCCTTAACTCCACTTCCCAGCCTTTAACTCCACTTCCCTGCCTGTAACTCCCCTTCCCCAGCCTGTAACTCCCCTTCCCCAGCCTGTAACTCCCTTCTCCGCCTTTAATTCCACTTTCCCGTCTTTAACTCCACTTCGCTTGTAACTCCCTTCCCCGCCTGTAACCCCTTCCTCCGCCTATAACTCCACTTCCTGCCTTAACTCCACTTCCCCTGCCTTTTAATCTCCACTTTCCCCGTCTTAACTCCACTTCCCCTGCCTGTAACCTCCCTTCCCAGCCTTTAACTCCACTTCCCCCGCCTGTAACTCCCCTTCCCCAGTCTTTAACTCCACTTCCCCCGCCTGTAACTCCCCTGCCCCAGTCTGTAACTCCCCTTCCCCCGCCTTTAACTTTACTTACCCCATCTCTAACTCCACTTCCTCCCTCCAGGGCTTGAGGAGAGAGAGGAGGTCTTGCCGACACTAAAGGCATGGCGTAAGGACGTGCTAGAGGCTGAGAAGAAAATGTCAGCCCTTAAGGGGAAGATCCTGGGCGGTGTGGCCGGAGGTGAGTCATACTAGGTTATCTTGGGTGAGTCAGTCAAGAGGTAAAGTTATTCTGGATGAGTCAGTTAAGAGGTAAAGTCGTCCTAGGTGAGTCAGTCAAGAGGTAAAGTCTCCTTGGCGAGTCATTCAAGAGGAAAGGTCATCCTGGGTGAGTCAGACAAGAGTGAGCTAATAACAAAGTGGGCTTGTGTCTCTAGCTATGACATGTTACCAACTAGGACTCGAAAGCTCCTTGATGCGAAGTCTGTAGAGAGAAGTAATCTCATTAGCTTTATGCTGGGCAAACAGCACGATGAGTGTGATGTTCCATATACTGAGTGGGAGCTTGAAGCCGCCCTAGCCAGGGCTAGTTCCACTGCCCCTGGAGGGGACGGAGTCACCTACAACATCGTTAGACTACGAAGGCGTGTGCCGGATAATCCATTATTGGCATTGCATAATAAGAGTCATGTCGAAGGCCAACTACCCACATCATGAGCAGTATTGTTGTACCATTACCGAAACCAGGACAGCCTGATGCTTTTCGTCCTATATCACTAACTTATATGAGTCAGAGAACACGTGTCCCTTAACATAAATGGCTTCACTCACGGTAAAGGTGTACATAATTTCATCATCACACCATACAGACTGTTGATAACGTCACACGACCATCTACACTGATGGATGGATCTCTTAACAATGCCTGTGGGAGGACTAGAAGTGGTATCGATGTGACTCAACCGGACGGTAATACAACTGAGAAAAGAGTTAGAAATAACAACTGGGCATCCACTCTACAAACTGAATTAGTTGCCATACTCACAGCCATTAAATTTATTGAAACCACTGTCACTGACAGTCTCATCATCACTGATTCTCTATCCTCACTACTTGCCCTTGACACCCTCAACTTAAGTTGTCACGCGCTTGTCTCTAAAGCCAGACACAAATATGGGTACCTTGTTGACCGAGGTGTCAAGGTCAAACTGCTGTGGATCCCCTTTCACATAGGCCCCAAAAAACATGACAGAGTTGATGCCCTCGCCAAACTCGCGTCAAACAAAGACACTGTTGAATGCAATCTGGGTCTGTCAAAAAGAACCCTTAAAACTGTAATTAGGAAAGAATTTATTGATGAATTTGACGCAAGTAGACAAGTGTAAATAGGCATTAGTCAATCCATTGTTTACCATGATGAGATGTATCAAGTGAAATATGCATATGGCGCAAGTAACAAGATCACGAGATTACAAGATGTTGTAACCGCTAGATTAAGGTTAGGATACAAGTACCTCTGGCAGTATATCCCTCAAGCAGATGTGAACTAAACTAAACGTAAAGTGTATGGCCAGACATATCACCACACACTCGAACACGACGTCCTCGACTGTGTGAAGATAGAACCTTTTAGGGACAGGTCCAAGCACACTGTGTGTGAAATGGTACAACACTTCATCTCTACTGGCAAGATAGCCGACATATTAAGATTGTATCCACTTTTTTGCACTTAGTAACTATATCATTTCCCATGTATAGAATCAAACACACAATGTGCTTGAATACCTCTCACTCAAATGTGAATAACAAAGTGTGCGGCCAGACATACTGCCTCACACGCCTGTACTCACGCATTTGTGAATAAGTTGCCCTTTATGTGTAGAACTAAACAAAGAATTTATTTGAAATACTGTGTAACATTCAATACCATAATATCCTGACCACTGGGGTTAGTTATACAGACCCTTTGTGAACTCTGTAATCCTTTTGCTCTACTGCTCATATACAGTAAACTAGTCAAGAGGTGAAGTCATCCTGGGTGAGTCAGTCAACAGGTCAATAATGTTTAGCCAGAATCATTAAGAATTCAGGTACATATGCATATATTCAAGGTGAGTCATAATTAAGTCAGGTAATCATTATTATAATTAGTGCCGTTATTATTTTTGTTATTAATGCTACTGACGTATTATTATTATTATTATTTTTATTATTATTATTATTATTATTATTACGAATCAGATGAAGACTATTCACCACCACCTTATTTGACCCGAAGATTAAACACCGTAACACTAACCTAACTTAATCCCCCAAGGTAACGTCAGGGTGTTTAATCCTCAAGTGATATTAGCTGGGGTGCCTAATCTTCATCCTGTTCCATTATTACTGTATCAACATTACTGCTACTAATTACTGTCGTTACTGTATCCTCGTTAATATTTTCGTTACTATATCACTATACTCTTCACCGTCACTAAACCAACACATTTCATTGGCTATAGGCTTAGGTCTGGCGTTAGTGGCGTGTGCTGTGTGTGTGATAACTCGTCTGCGGCCGCGACACGAGAGAAAGTTCAACGGCAGCAGGAGGCCTTCACAACAGTCCTCCCAACAAATCAAGACCCGCGTCACCCACGACCACGACAGCAGCACACCACAGAACTCAACCAATAAGATGAAAGTGTAAGGTGTTTTACCTGCCAGCAACCTCACAGGATCCCATCAGTCAGAATAATCACAGCACCTTCACCTTACAAGGATGGATCAGTCAATAGTGAGACAAGACACTATAAGCAAATGAAATAATTCTATCATGTTTTTTTTTATGATACTGTGTATATATATTTATGATATCCTGGCAACAAACACAGATAGTGACTTTCTTTGAAGTAATGTAGAAAACTATAGACCATTAGTTAAAACACTGATCAGCTGACTATACTGTAGTGTTGGGTTAATGCGCTCAATGACCAAATGAGCCAAATAATGGACTAGTGTATGTAACTCAAAGTATTCCTCAAAATCCCTAAAATAATAGTAACCATCAATAGTTTCAACCACGATGCATTCTTTTCAAATTCGTCCTTAAGTGTCGGGAGAGTGTCACAAAAATGTAAACACAAACGTCAAGGGACTTTGTAAGCACCCAGTGACGTAATGCTCTACACAAGGGCTGTATCTCACGGTACATATATAAGCAACACAATATCTATGAACATGTGTGTAAGTGGACCTGTAGGGGCATGTTCCTCACCAGGCTGTCTACTCCTGTCACACCACAACACATGTTCCTCACCAGGCTGTCACACCACAACACATGTTCCTCACCAGGCTGTCACACCACAACACATGTTCCTCACCAGGCTGTCACACCACAACACATGTTCTTCACCAGGCTGTCACACACCACAACACATGTTCCTCACCAGGCTGTCACACCACAACACATGTTCCTCACCAGGCTGTCACACCACAACACATGTTCCTCACCAGGCTGTCACACCACAACACATGTTCTTCACCAGGCTGTCACACACATAGGTAAACATCAGGTAACTACGTGACCTCCTCCAACACAGTGAAGGAAGAAACCACAACAAAACAATGACCGTAGAATACATAATTACCCCCCTTAACGACCAATTTACCCGTTGGAACGCCTTGTTAGCTTTAATTAAATGAAGCATATGTATATAATTTCAAGGGTATTAATGGTAAAGCTTAACTTCAGTTCAGACAGTCTTTTTTATATGTTAAGTAAGCAAACCTTACTTAATTTAGTTTTAGTTACGTGAAGATAACATAGATAAGGTTAGGTTAGCAGGGTAGGTTAGGCTAGGTTAGGTTAGTTAGGTTAATCTGAATATGTTAGCAGGGTAGGTTAATTTGGTTAATTTAAATAGGTTAACAAGGTAGGTTAGGTTAATTTGAATAGGTAAGTAGGGTAGGTGAGTTAGGTTAATCTGAATAGGTTAGCAGAGTAGGTCAGTTAGGTTAATCTGAATAGGTTAGCAGGGTAGGTGAGTTAGGTTATTCTGAATAGGTTAGCAGAGTAGGTCAGTTAGGTTAATCTGAATTGGTTAGCAGGATAGGTTAGTTAGGATAACCTGAATAGATTAGTTAGTTAGATTAGTTAGGTTCGGTTAGTGGTGAGGCAATTATTTTTAGTTTGCATTACATTTTTTCCCAAGATGACTCTTAAGTACAAATCAGTTCAAATGGTCGCGTGTCCCCTCCACCCCCCACTCCCCAAAGAGAAGACTTTATTGACATCGCGCTTGGGCTTGATAGATTATATTTATTTATTTATTTTTTATTATTATTATTTTTTTTGCATTTGAAGTCTCTGTATCTCATGCTTCATCTCATAGATAGATAGATAGATAGATAGATAGATAGATAGATGATTCTCAATAACGCCTGTTTTCTTTGTATATATTAATAATGATAATGGTGATGGTGATAATGACGATGATAATGATGATGACAATTATAAAAACCTTCATATCCTCGTTTCTGTTACTCTCTCTCTCTCACCTTTTTTCTCTCTTTCTTTTTATCTTTAACGCTCTCTCTCTCTCTCTCCATCTTCAGTATTCAATTTCTTGTGATAAATATATACTGTTAATTATATAGAAATTTTTTATTAGTGCGTTGCTCCACTAATAATTAATTGTAAATCTAAGTAATCGTTTATATGACAATTGCAAGTAATAGAGTTTTTTAAGTGTTAGTGGGTGATATAAGTGTACTGGAAACTATAAGTGGTATTGAGAGAAAATTATAAGTGTATGCTTGTATAGGATTGATAAGTGACTTATTTAAGTGTGTGGATAATTGTAAATGTGCAACAGTGTGTCATCTAAGAGTACTTAAGCTTGTATATGGCAATGATGACTTTAAAGTGTACATATGTATGGTTTTAATGATTTAAGTGTACTTAGAATAAGAAACAGGTAAAAAAAGGTTCATTTAAGTCCAATGAGAAATATAATTGGTCAATGATGTATTAAGTGTGCTTAGAATTAAAAAAAGAGAAATACTTATCGAATTGTTTTTATGACCTGTTGACGCTTATAAGTAAAACATTAAGTAAGAACTTCTACCTTTGACGAGAGAGAGAGAGAGAGAGAGAGAGAGAGAGAGAGAGAGAGAATTAAGTAGCATATGGCGAACATAAAAGACTTTGTTTTCAACTTGAAAACTTAACATCATTTCTTACCACAGGATCAAATTGATGTTTACATACGTCAGTGATACCAGAGTGAGAAGAAAAAATTCCCTTATTTTATTAATTGGCAACTTATTTTTTACAGTAAGATGAAACAACAGCAGTGAATTTCTTTTTACATAAAAAAATAACAGAATTAACAAAAAAAACTAAATATAAAAATATGGAGTTTTTAGGAGTTGGGGTGAATGATGATTTTATTGGTAATACTGTTCAGATAATGACAATGTTGGTACTCCTGTTAAAACTATGATTAAATTACCAATGTTGTTACACCTGTGAGTTACTAAACCTTCGATTATCAGTGTTGCTACTCTGAATTTTAATTAATGTTGGCACCCCTGTTAAATCTTAATTATTAATGTTGGCAACACTACTAAACTTTAAACATTCGTGTTGGTACCCCTGCTAAAATTTAATAATTCTTGTTGGTTCCACTGCTAAACCTTAATAATTCGTGTTGGCACCCCTGTTAAACCTTATAACTAATGTTGGTACCACTGCTAAACCTTATAATTCGTATTGGCACCACTGCTAAACCTTAATAATTCGTGTTGGTACCCCAGCTAAACCTTAATAATTTGTGTTGGTACCCTGCTAAACCTTAATAATTTGTGTTGGTACCCCTGCTAAGCCTTAATAATTCGTGTTGGTACCCCTGCTAAGCCTTAATAATTCGTGTTGGTACCCCTGCTAAGCATTAATAATTCGTGTTGGTACCCCTGCTAAGCCTTAATAATTTGTGTTGGTACCCCTGCTAAGCCTTAATAATTCGTGTTGGTACCCCTGCTAAAATCTTTAATATTATTGTTTTTCCTGTTGAGCCCAAAATAAAAGATGCTGGTACTTGACTTTATCTAACCTTAAACACTCCCTAGTCCTGAGTGAACACGTCATGAACTGGTTGATACTCAGTTTTACAATAACAGTAAGAAAGATCAGACTATCGTAAACTATCGCTACTTTTGCCTATGGTCAAGATAAGCAATGTTGGTACACCTGTTGGAATGAAGATTACCAATGTTGGTACTCCTGTTCAGCAATAAATAAACAACGTTGGCATTCATGTTCAGCATAAACAGACAGCTCTAAAGTAAACAATGGTGGTACCATTGTTCAGCATGAAATAAACACTGGCCAAGTTAAATAAGGAAACATCACACTAAAGACAAATGAACAAAAGAGCAACATTATGCTTATGTCTGCAGGACCACCACCTTTCCACTCGCTTCTTAAAGTCTTCCACTCCGTCCTGCACCACATGATCTCAGAGTGGCTCCTTTACCAGCTGACTCTAAATCGAGACTTTCCTTCTTTACCTACCAAAGCACTGATTTAGAGGCCTTAAAATAATCAAAACAACAGGGAAGAACCAGCAGAACTATAGGTGGCTTTCAATTTTTGGAGTGGTAATCGGGTAGGAACATATGTCCCACAAAACCTGCTTAAGATGGCCCAAGACAGGTGTATGAGGCTCTACAAAGCTTGCTTAGGATGTTCCCCGGGTAGGAGACACAGGGGGCTCCTCTTGGAGAAACAGTTCTCGTCAGTTATGTAGTGGTAGTGTTCGTAGGAAAGGGAAGCACAGTGACCCACTGGAGGCGTGGTGGGGGCCTGCATGTAGTTGTAACACTTCCCGTCGTTGGCCTTTGTAGTGGAGTTGAGAATGCTGTGGGTAATGGTGCGCTGGGTGCATGTCTCCTGGTGTCTGCAGGAGGGTGGAGGATGGGTTATTTCTCCATTATATTGTTCACATTGTTTGTTTACAACTATGTTAAATACATCCCTGGTAATACTTGAGATGGCTTTCGCGGCTAAAATGTTTTGTAACTATATGTTGGCTAAAAAACTGAGGATTTACGAACATGGGAACAAGATAGTTCCCACTACTACACCGACTCTGCTGCCCCGATGAAGTAAAACAAACGACCTCAGAATTATGTTGGATTTAAGTACTAATAAAATCAATAGTATTTGAGTTTAGGCTCGTATGACACCGCTTAGTAGTCCGTACCAGCAAAAGTCAAGTGGAATTCTGTTATTGTATATGGGACACTAATAAAAACACCTCGAGGAAAACAGATACAAGAAATTGGATGCTGGGGTAAATCTACAATACTGTCTTCAGGCCTATTCCTATGCCATAGTTATAAAGCTCACCTGACAGCCCAGTAGGGAGACCCAAGAGGCATGGCGGAGGTGTCGATCCAGGTCCAGCCCATAGTCTCGTTAACGTAGCGTCCACCTATCCAGAAGTCCGCGGCCACCTCTGTTGAAATACACTGGCTCAGTTTCTTTATATAACATATATTTAAGATTATATACAGTATTTAATAGCCTATGTATTCAAGGCAAAAGTAAAAATGAAACAGGTACTGACGATGTTGACTAAGATGCTGCAGAACTGTGGAGAAGCTGTTAAGGTTACTGTTGATAGACAACAGTTCTCCCCCAATGGTCTGGCAGAAGGTCCTGGCCTCCATCCAAGTCATCTACCGGAGGAACATCAAACTATTAAACTAAGTCTGTGGCAGTAAATGTAAGACGTTTACATTAAGCGAATAAAGACTTAGTAATAACATATGGTAATAAGGTGAAACTTACGGAACCGATAAAGAAAATAGATAAACATTGGTTGCCGACTTTGGTGTACAACCAGGGGCAGTCTGGGTGACGGATGGTGTTGTTAAGTTTGAGCAAGAACTCGTCAGACCAATTCTCGTTCCTCACGTGTATGGACGGCTCTGTAGTTGTCGGCTCTGAAAAAAAAATATTCCTCTGTTATTTTTAATATCAAGATAATCTACAATTCCTTTATACATACTGACCTAAATACTCTACTAACTAAAACCCTTCTGCCTCTCTTGTCTCGACCATCTTGTTTATTTGTTATGTATCTTCTATTTCGACTGTAGGTGCATCACCCCTTTTTACTTTATTTAATTTCCCGTTTAGTAATGACAACAGGTGATGGTACTACAGAATCTACACGGCACTTTGAGAGAATTGAACCAATGTCTCTAAGTTTGGCGTGAACATCGGTAACACGTGAATCATCATAATAGTTTAATCTTTACATCTACGCGACATGACCTCGTGTGTGGGGGAGGGAGTAAACAAACTATCATGACTCACCTGTAGGCTCCAGGGTGGTGGTGACGAGCTGGATGGTGTGTAGGGGCTGGATCTTCCCGTCACTCAGCATCTAGACAAACACAGGAGTTCAGCAAGTGTTTTTATGGTGTATATATACAGTATATATTGGTACACGTACTGACACATGCATACATATAGAGAGAGAGACGACCACGCCCCTATTGACACAAACATATTTACAGGCAAACATATATATAGGTCCTCACAGTTAATTTATACGTCCACACAATTAAACAAACACACACACACACCTGAAAAAGCTACCACTAAAATTCCATTGAACTTAAAAAATTCAATACAGAATGACGTAATGGAATGCCTTCAATATTGCTATAAATAAAGTAACTTAAGTTGCACGTAAGTTATTGAGAAAGAGAGAGAGAGAGAACCTACCTGACAGAGGAGGGGGTTCACGGTGCCCTCACAAGGCGGGTTGCTGAGGGTACAGTAGTGACTGATGGTGACACAGTCAGTGCGGCCGTTCCTCGTACAGCTGGCACTGTTACGTTCACAGTTACTGTTCCTCCAAGCCTGAAAGATCAAGAATGTCACTACCACAACCACCACCAATATTACCACTACTACTGCCACAGCCACCACCAATATTACCACTACCGCTGCCACAACCACCACCAATATTACCATTACTACTGCCACAACCACTATCACTATCACCACTACCACAATCACCACCACTACTACCACTACAAACTACTAACACTACCAAGACATAACTTTCAGTCTTAATATGTGAGTTCTCCCTATACTCGTTTTCTTTCAACTTCCATTTTCTGTCTGTTCCCACTTTCTATCAATATCATTTCCTCTGTCTCCTGTAACAGCCCCAGTGTGCTGTTTAATTATATATGAATCGTAAAATTCTAAAACACTGTCTTATAGATCGATCTAAAAGTTTACTACGGGAAGTAATTAACTGTCTGTGTGTCCATCTATGTGTGTTCTGGCATTTCTCGGCCCTGTTTGTCACCACGGCCACCACCTACCGCACACAGAGAGCTGGCCTCGTCGCTGTTGTCGCCACAGTCATTGTCGCCATCACAGATGTACCTGATCCTGGTGCATCGGTCGGTCGTCCCGCAGTGGATCTGGTCAGACTCAGGACACGTTGCCTGACTTGGGACTGATAAAATAACTAGTATAGTAGAAAATTCGCGAGTGTGTGTGTGTGTGGTGAGCATCAAATTAGCCGCAGTTGAGCACCACCTCCTGAACTACAAATATGAATTGCGTTACATTAAATGTAGTCGTGTCTATGGAACAAAAACTCACCATTATCTTATCAACCATTAAACAGCTATGGTGACACCTCAACAGTGCACCTGAGTGAATATTTGTTTTAAGCGTCACAGGAAAGGTATACAAGTGACATGACTCTTGGTTTAAGGTCCTTCACATATAGCCTCAAAAATATATGTCGGGTCATTACTGATTCCTTGAAATGATAATTTCAAAACACATTGTTTCCCGTGTTGTTCTTTTCCTTATATGAAGTTATTGAAAAATTAATCTAAAATGTATCTAAACATTTGAAATTTTACAAATTCAAATAAAATTGTCATTATAATAATTCATAAACTAATCTAAAAGGAATTTAAACAAGAACAGAACCACACACAGAGAGAGAGAGATATACTGTTAAGTAAATCTGTAATCACATGAAATTTTGTGAATAGTTTGACACTTTTTAAGTCGACAGTTTCTGAGAGTAAGGATCGAAATATTAGGTAATCTGACCTTGAGACATTAACAGGGAGACAAATCACACTACTTACCTGTCGCTGATCTGCAAGATACATGCTGAAGGGCACCTAAAAGATTCCTATGGCTTCAACAATGTCATGTCAACAAACCTTCATCCTTTGTCGTGGCGGTGACTCTCGAGCTCGTTTCAGAATGTGGCAACGAGGTATTAAGTACCAGAATAGTATGAGAAGGAATTCTATGTTGCAGTGGTAATAAAGAGAATAGAAGAAGGTCTTGTAACACAACTCTGCTCCATGGATAGCTTTCTATTACTGAACACGATCGTATCATCCCCCATCACCTTCCCTCATCATTCCCCTCAAACAATGACCCCCCCCCCTCCCACAAAAAAACTATTTGTGGCATCGGGAATAAAATATTATTATTAGAAATCCTAAAATGATCGTCCAGGAGTGGAAGTAATACCGTCTGTTCACACCACTAACGATTACTGCAGCCGTCCTGACATAACACGGGAGGCTCTGGCCACACCCTCAGTTACACAAAGATGGATGGAGTCACCCTTATTATGAAGTATGTTGTAGTTGGCAGATGAGCTTAAGACATACGAGCTAAGTTAAAAAAAAAAGGCAATAATAGCAACCATTATGAACCTGGTGATGATAGCTGCTATAGAGAGTGCAGAGAACCACCTTGTTTATTGTTTGAGGAAAATTAACCTGCTGTTGACGGTGATTCTGTTATCGAGAATATTGATGACAGTGATGAGAATGATGTCTCGTGTGGTGACGTGGTCGTCTGGGCGTCTGTGGACCCCATTTGGGTAAATGATGTCGAGGGTTCTGAGGATGTCGTCTCCTCTAGGACAGTGGCGGTCGTCTCCTCTAGGACAGTGGCGGTCGTCTCCTCTAGGACAGTGGCGGTCGTCTCCTCTAGGACAGTGAAGGTCGTCTCTGCTGATGCCGTCCTTTCTGACACAATCGATTCCACTGTCGCCATCGTAGGTGTCGATGACACTGGTGAGGAAAGCGATATCTATGGATTTCATGAAAGGGTTGATCTTTGTTGTGCTTCTACAGGGGGCGCCCTGGGAGACAAACACCTACAGTAATAACTCTGGAATTTGATAAACGTCTCAGGCCAGATTATATTGTGCCAAAAAGCTTGAACCAGAAACTCATGAAAGTCAAGGCTCTGCCAGTAAGAGCTAGTAGGTGTGACATACAACTATGACGAAGATGATGGGAATAAATGATGTTACAGTGATTACACTTCGTCTTTCAAATGTCATGAGCAAAAATAAAGGTCGTAATAGAGAACAGATCGACCGTCCGAGCTGCTAGTAAGCTGACAAGTTGTTGTTAGAGATAAATAATAATAATAAAAACTTAATGTTAGTGACTGTCTTAGTATGGTTTAGGTTGCCATTTATATCTGATCGTTTTCTTTTACTTTGTAAATAAAGGTCTCATTTGATGTAGAGGCATGACAGAAGGGTTAACTACATACTGCTCTTAATATTGGTGATAACAGCAGTCCTGCAAAGAATGATATTGGTTTGTCGAAATGGTCGACGTATGCAGCAAGTTACTAATAATTCAGAAGTCAACTCTGCCAAAGTTGGATCTTTTTAACAGAACCATAGTGTTTCCAAATCTCTTGACTGCCGTTGCCGGAAAATATTCAGCAGAAATAATGGTTCAGCACCGAGATACACAAACTAACGGGGTCATACTACAGTTCAAAGGCAGTAATGGCGGAAGCTTCATTGTAGGAAAATTATGTTTTTGAAACTTAGTCTTTATTTACATTTCTTCTCTTATAGACTTTTCCCCATGAAAAAAATATTGTTAGATGAATAGATAGATAAGTAAAATCTATCTATTACACGATCATTCTCACTATCTAATTACCAGGACCCACGTCACCAGTCACCACTCTGTTAACACCTCAGTCTATTAAGACTACCAGGCTTAAGTATGACATCTTCACCTCACAAGAACTAACTGCTGCCACGACCCGTCAACCCCTCACTCCTCCCCCACCACAAAAAAAAAATTATATATATATATATACTGTATATATATATATATATATATATATATATATATATATATATATATATATATATATATATATATATATATATATATATTTGAAAAACAGGGAAAAGGGAAACAACGGAGCACCTTAGTTTCGTCTTTATTCAAGACATCTTATGAAGATGTCTCGAATAATGACAACTAAGGTGCTCCGTTGTTTCCCTCAAGATTTATCTTATCCACGTTTTCATTGTGGATCTACATGAGATATATATATATATATATATATATATATATATATATATATATATATATATATATATATATATATATATATATATATATATATATATATATATATATATATATAAATATTTATATGCAAGTAAATCACTGTAGTTGCGCGTGATCTAGGTATATGCTGATAACCACAAGGAAAGAAGAAAACACGAAGTTCTCAAGCGCTTTCGTGTAATTCACATCTTCAGGGGTGAGTACAGACTAAGGAAAAGTACAAAACAAGGTGTATATATTCAGAGGAACATAAGAACATAAGAACATAAGGAGTCTGCAATAGGCCGGTTGGCCTGTGCATGGCAGCTCCTGTCGAGAGTTACTACCACTCTCTATCATCCATGAATCTATCTAGCCTCCTTTTGAAACTTTCCAGAGTTCCCGCACTTACTACAAAGTTGCTAAGCTTGTTCCACTCGTCCACCACCCTATTTGTGAACCAGTTTCTTCCTATCTCCCTCCTAAACCTAAACTTATCCAACTTGAATCCGTTGCTCGAGTCCTATCCTGCTCGGATATTATAAGAACTCTATCTATATCCTTTATTGATTCCTTTTCACCCACTTAAATACTTCTATCATATCTCCCCGCACTCTTCGTCTTTCTAGGGAATGCAAGTTAAGTTTCTTTAACCTATCCTGATATAGAAGGTTTCTAAGTCCCGGAATCATTTTGTCATTCTTCGCTGCACCGACTTAGTGAATTTATATCCATTCTATAATAGGGCACCAGAACTGAACCGCATAATCGAGGTGCGGCCTGACTAGCGCAAGATATAGTTGCAATAAGACCTCTGCACTCTTGTTACTTACACTTCTAGATATAAAAGCCAATACTCTGTTTGCCTTATTTCGAACATTAACGCACTGTTTTCTAGGCCGTAGGTCCGGGCTTACAAGTACCCCTAGGTCTCTTTCACAAGTCGACTTCTCTAGGTTGATGTTGTTAAGGCTGCATACATTATAAGTATTTGTTCTTCCAATATTAATCTTTAAATAGCACACAACGGTTGGTGGTCAGGTCAGATGGTAAGGTGACCCGCCCTTCTCACCTGGTTTTTCTTCTTTCCTTGTGGTTATCAGCATATATATATATATATATATATATATATATATATATATATATATATATATATATATATATATATATACATATATATAACTGAATATTCATATGAGACTCATAGTTTGTACACTATATTACTCTTGACAGAATTTAATTACACATATTAAGGTATATACAGGGTGATCGATAAGGAATACCCTGATTTTAATACATAACTACTGTATTTGAAATCATGGCACTACTTTTCGGCGACCCTGTAGATTAGCATAAACAACACGCACACGAGCCAACATAAACAACACGCACACGAGCCAACATAAACAACACGCACACGAGCCAACATAAAAACAACACGCACACGAGCCAACATAAACAACACGCACACGAGACAACATAAACAACACGCACACGAGCCAACATAAACAACACGCACACGAGCCAACATAAACAACACGCACACGAGCCAACATAAACAACACGCACACGAGCCAACATAAACAACACGCACACGAGCCAACATAAACAACACACACACACGAGCCAACATAAACAACACGCACACGAGCCAACATAAACAACACGCAGATTAACACAAACAAGAACATATGGATTAACATTGTATTGACGCGTAAGGTTAAATTATCCCTCTACAGGTGTGTTGTAAGACGTGACAATGGCGACGGACACACAGACAGATAAATTCGACGTCATTTGGAGAAGAAAAGAAAGACTAATGTCGATCATTCCGAAGTATGACTATTTTAAGTTGGATTCTTTCTGTATACGAATCATTTTATATGTGACTGCTTATGTATAGGATTCATTTTACACATAAATACAGTGCCTTACTTCACGTTTTTGAAAAGAGTAAATTTTCTATACAACGATTCTCTGTGCACATATCTTTTTGTTTTGTGCAATCTCCTGACAAATGACGATGAACATATGCGACTTATTTTTGCACAAGGGTTTAACATTTCCTATAATCCTTTCAGACAGCTTTTATTCACGAAATTTTTGGCGTTCACTTCCTTCCCTCCTTTGACTGTTGATGTTATTCACGACAGATCCCCTCCCCCCCCAGAACGATCACTTTCAAGAGATGTTCATTCATTACTTTCATTTTCCACAAGACACACACACACACCCTACCCACCTCCCATCTCTCCCTCTCCTTATTTGGTGATTTGATAAAGTATCTAACTGATTGACTGACTGACTTGACTGATTGACCTAAGGTACTATAGAAAGGAATCAGAATAGCATTGAGAGTCCACTAAGATGTCTCAAAGTAAGGTTTAAAGTACAGAAAACAAATTACTTACCTTCTAGCCACAATAACTATGTTGCTTGCAGACCACAGAAAGCTACTTACCTACTAGCCACAATAATTATGCTGCTTGCAGACCACAGAAAGTTATTTACCTACCAGCCATAATAACTATGGTTTTGCAGACCACAGAAAGTTACTTACCTACTAGCCATAATAACTATGTTGCTTGCAGACCACAGAAAGTTACTTACCCTACTAGCCAAAATAACTATGATACTTACAAGCGTGTACTCAACTAACACCTTCTAGTATCCTTGGCGCTTGTACAAACAGACAAACACTGGGCAGGAAGGGTACTTGTCCTGACCATGACGGCTGCTAAATAACGCTGCACTTGGCGGTCCAGCAACATCAACAACAACAGTAAGAGAGGCAGTACTTACCAGCCCAGAGGCAACACAGCATCAACAGCAAGGAGATCCTCAACACAGCAATGAATCGGTGATGGGCAGTGTTGGTAGTTGTCGTGTGACTCTCTGAAAGAAGAGACCTTGAATGTACTCTAATGTCTCTCTCTCTCTCTCTGTAACAAATGTAAGTATTGTTTTTTATTTTACGTTTCAATGTTCACCAGACAGTTCTCACCGGACTTGATTCCTTTAGACAGGTTCCTATTGGTAAAAACCCACCAGTCAAATTCTCATTGGACAAAATACCACTAGAGGTTCTTATTGGATAAAATTCTACCAGCTGAACTAAATCCAGACATATGGTATAGCTAAATGTGATTTAGTCCTACCATTAAAAAACAATAGTGCCAGCAAAAGCAATCAACAGTGCCTGGCGTTCCACTCCATCTACGACAAACGAACGTAAGGTCAATCAAGTGAGCGCAAACTGTAGAGGCTTACTTGTGTGGACGTCCGGTTCTGGTGCCCGCTGGATGAAGACTGACCCAGGCAAGTGGCTACACGTATACTCAGTATCTTGTCCCGCGTCAAAGTCACGTTCAGATTGGTGGCCTCTCGGCTACCGCATTTACACTCATCAGTTGCCCCGCCCCCTCGCGGAGAATGGTGACATTCATTGCTCAACCTCAACCAATTACAATCTCTGGTTTATTGGGTAGTGTTCATGTCGGGCCAATCATGTTTACTGTTGAAATCAGGAGGCCGTTGGAAACCCAGAAACTGCCATTTATTGAATATAATTGATATATATTTGGTAAAACCAGGGCAGACCATGATATAAGGGTGTGCTGGAGGGGGGAGATAACTTGCACTCACTAATCACTGTGACACACTTCCGGTGGTGACAACAACAACAGAAATTAACACACACACACACGGGAACATTCTACTGTAGTATGATAGCCCAACACTTGTACAGGATGTGCTGCCAGTTACCAAGGCTCTTGCTAAAAAAAATTTTCATTAACATTAGACGAGTCGAAGCGCTACGCCTCTAACCATACTTATACAAAAAAGGTCTTATAGGAATTGAGACTTTTCTCTAAATGGGAACTTACACTTACAAGGATTAAGCTGAATTATACATGAATGCAAACAAAGTGACTGTAACCCATGACAGATATGCAGATGACATACAACCAGGAATTTGTGCATTGTGTATTATTCTAACCTAACCTAACCTAACCTAACCTAACCTAACCTAACCTAACCTAATCTAACTAGGGACTAGTGGCGTGTGTCTCCCCTTTATTACACAAGAGAGAGAGAGAGGGGAGAGAGAGAGAGAGAGAGAGAGAGAGAGAGAGAGAGAGAGAGAGAGAGAGAGAGAGAGCAAAATGCATTACACATTATCAAAAAATATTAAATTTGAGAGTCACAATAGACACATATTTACTCACTCGCAATTGACTCACCCAGGAAGGACAACTCTATAGAGGCAATGTACTTTTCTAAACGACACCCTGAGGTTTCAACAGGTACCCCTCTCCCCTTCCAACCTGGATCGCTATAGTGAGGTTCCTGGACCAAGCACCAGGATGCCCTGGAGCCCTGATATTTTTTTTTTATGTTTGGAGTCGACTTATTCAGGAACTCCATTGGTAAAAAGCAACATTCATGGTTTAGGGTCCATTTTTTGCCTTCTAAACACACACACACACACACAAATCTTCATAGTTCACCACCGAAGGGTCAAGACGTACCTAGCGCTGCTCTGGCAGCAGCCAGGTCAACTGTTATGTTGGCCCATACCAACTCCCTCTCCTGAACCCTCCTTCCCACCGGAATAACAACAAGTTCTCGCCAGAAGTTAGTATTTCATTTAGGAAAGGAGTGGAACTAGTGTTGAATAGTGGTGAACAGTGCTAAAGTCAGTGAAAAACAACTCAACAGTAACAGAGTATTAGGTTTTATATCTAGAAGTGTAAGTAATAAGAGTGCAGAGGTTTTATTGCAACTATATCTTGCGCTAGTCAGGCCGCACCTCGATTATGCGGTTCAGTTCTGGTGCCCTTATTATAGAATGGATATCAATTCACTGGAGTCGGTGCAGCAAAGAATGACAAAAATGATTCCGGGACTTAGAAACCTTCCATATCAAGGATAGGTTAAAGAAACTTAACTTGCATTCCTAGAAAGACGAAGAGTGCGGGGAGATATGATAGAAGCATTTAAGTGGATGAAAGGAATCAATAAAGGATATAGATAAAGTTCTTATAATATCTGAGCAGGATAGACCTGGAGCAACGGATTCAAGTTGGATAAGTTTAGGTTTAGGAGGGAGATAGGAAGAAACTGGTTCACAAATAGGGTGGTGGACGAGTGGAACAAGCTTAGCAACTTTGTAGTAAGTGCTGGAACGCTGGAAAGTTTTAAAAGGAGGCTAGATAGATTCATGGATGATAGAGAGTGGTAGTAACTCTCGACATGTTCTTAACAGCTGAGTCGTACCCAAGCTAACCTTCACACAGTGAGGTCCAAGGTACCCAATGATAACTGCCCCTGAGACTCAACACCAGCTATGTGTTAACCCGTCCACGATAGGGAGGCCTGGGACCACCTGTAACACCTGACCACGTGGTGTCCCCATGATGTTACGACACCAAGTAGTGAATGAGTTGCTACAGCATCATGTGAGGTTCCTCATAACACCATCTGTGAAGGAATTACTATACCACGTGATGCCCCTCATAACACCATCTGTGAGGGAGTTACTACACCGCGTCAAGCCCCTCATAACACCATCTGTGAAGGAATTACTACACCATGACAAGCCCCCCATAACACCATCTGTGAGGGAATTACTATACCACGTGATGCCCCTCATAACACCATCTGTGAGGGAGTTACTACACCGCGTCAAGCCCCTCATAACACCACCTGTGAGGGAACTACTACACCACGTGATGACCCTCATAACACCATCTGTGAAGGAGTTACTACACTACGTGTCTGCTGTTCAACACCTCAGCGCGCAAGATCTACGTGACCTCCACTGTAAACATTAATCTGCATGTTCACTGTATGTTCCTTTACCTTTCTCTGATGAAGGCTTTTGTTAAACCACCAATGTCAATGTATGTAATAAGTCATTTATGTCCAATGTATATTTTCAGCCTTCGGGCTGCAAACTTTTTCAATAATTCGATAATTATTATTATTATTATTATTATTATTATTATTATTATTATTTATTTACAATCTGTCTGTGTGTTCAACTATCACTCTTGTCTATAAATTTTGCCTCTGTCTATTTTTTTCATCCTGTCTATTTTTCAGTGTCTGCCTGTTCTCTCCATTTTTCCTGGTTTACATTTTGTCTGTCTGTCTGTCTGTCTGTGTTCCAATTTTATCTAATATTGTGTGCGTGTGTGTAATAGCAGTAGTAGTGTGTGTGTGTTCTCTCTCTCTCTCTATTCCATTATATATCTATCTATTTCCTTCATTCATTATTTCTCAACCTCACTTCCTTTACCTCGAAATGACTATAGATAAAAAGATATATAATTATTTCTTAAGCTCACAGGAAACACGTTACAGTCTCACACCACGAGGTACACTAAGTCTTGGGTAAATTGTTGTTACACAGTAGATCTTGTCTTTCTTCTTGTTCTTGTTTTTGATATTTTTTTTATTAGAATTGATGTGTTTATACTGATTTCGTTGTTTTTGTAAGTATAATTTTTCCGTTAATGGTAATATAACCAGGAAATGCAATCCGAAAAACGTATCAGCACCTCTAAATGCGTATGAGAGAGAGAGAGAGAGAGAGAGAGAGAGAGAATTTTAGCCTTGAACTATTGAGTAACGACTACACACCGGAAGGTGGCTTGTACCTCTCACCAAACAACCACACAACCCAGAACTTACAAATAATTATTGTAAAAATAGACCTTTGATTGATATATCTGATGCATTGACAACATATATATATATATATATATATATATATATATATATATATATATATATATATATATATATATATATATATATATATATATATATATATATATATATATGCAAGTAAATCACTGTAGTTAGTGTACCTTAAAAGCACTTTTCAGGTGTGAGTACAGACTGTACTCACACCTGAAGATGTAATTACAGCTAACAAAACTCAGCATATATATATATATATATATATATATATATATATATATATATATATATATATATATATATATATATATATATATATATATATATATATATATATATATATATATATATATATATATATATATATATATATATATATATATATATATATATATAAATGTTTCGAAGCCGGATTTGGTAAAATTACTCTGACCACCTACGTGACACGGGTAGTCCCATGAGGTTCACGGCGCCATAAGCTCGTTGAACAGGGTTTGTGTGAAATATAACAGAGTCTAGGAATGCTTTTAGTATCCTGGTGGTCCAGCGGTTAGCGTTCCACGGTCACAGTCATGGGCTCGTGGGCCGTGGGTTCGAATTCTGGCATAACGGTAAGGGTCCTGAACGAGAATGGCGTCAACACGACTGACCAATCATAAGGAGTCTACCATGTTTATCTCCTATAAGTGACCAATCACGGACGAGTGTGCTCTGTCTATCTCAGGCCCCACCAACTGCAAGGATACTTCTTCCAGGGTGAACATGCACGTATTTATATAATTAATTTTTCCTACAGACTTTTTTTTAAGTAAATTTAGAAGTGACCTTATGTATTGATTAATATGATATATATAATAAATAAATATATAATAAAGTGATAATTATTGGTCTATAAACCTGACTCATTCGAAGGATTGTGACTACCTTTCCCAGGTCTTGCCGGGAGGGTAAAGTTTAGTCTGTTCAGTTAGGATAAGAAATAGAAGCGCCGCTGTGGCAGTGACATTTACTAACACAGCCTCTCTCATATTATGCTGTTTAGGTTAGGTTAGGTTAGGTCTGGATAGGTTAGCGCTAGCGTTAGGGTGCTTAATCAATAGGTGATATAAGCCGGGCTGTTTAGCATTTAGGTGTATATCAAAAAGGTAAA